ATCGTCATCTACAGACTGTTTCTCTGTATCACAGCTAATCAGTATGTCTAGACATCCGATTGCTTCAAGACGAAGACATCTAACCCCAAGGCTATCGACGCCCCATCGGAGAGAAAGGCGAATTTTTACGTAATTATTTTTTTCATAAACACGCCAGAACTCAATCCAATTTGGAGAGTCTTGCATTATCACCAGTAGTTGTGACTGTTTACAAATTCGCGTTTGTTTCCCTACAGTGCTCGACCGATTTAATTATTTGTCCGGGAGCTGATATCGTCATCCACAGACAGACTGTTTCGCTGTATCACAGCTAATCAGTGTGGTTAGACATCCGATCGCTTCAAGCCGGTATCAGTCGGAGATTCTAACCCCTAGGCTATCGACGCCCGGCAGATATATATATATATATATATATATATATATATATATATATATATATATATATATGTGTGTGTGTGTGTGTGTGTGTGTGTGTGTGTGTGTCTATAATTAAAGAGATACATGCACGTATAATTTTAATAAATCTTATTCGCTCAATGAAAGCGCAAATAAAGAGCAATGGCAATGTCCGGCTTGTTATTGACGTCTTATGTATCTGATGGAATCAGTTTTGAATCGATATCCGATACACAAATATCAATCAATATAATAAATCTAAACCATTTTATAATTAAACATATTTCCGAGATTGATTCGGGAGAATTGCAAGCATCTCCAAAACAAACCAGAAAAAAAAAATTGTAATTCCTACCGCCAGAGAATTTCTACCAAATCATCGACAATTTTTTTTTTTTAATTTTATTTTTACGCTTTCTACTTTTACCTTTTGCTGTGGGTGGGTTTGTCTAACTTCTCCATGTTTTGGGGTTTTTTTTTTAGTTTTTTTTTTTTAACATTTCCCGCTCTCCCCACCCTGCGGATATATTTAACTGAAAAATCTAGAAGGATGATTCTTTTAGGATGGCGAGTCAAATAAAAGCAGACGAAGGTTTTTTCTATTTTCTGCAACGATTGTATAGAATTGGTGAAAATATCTTCGCTAATTGGAAATTCGGATTTTAGTGAAAAGAACTTAATCAATTTCTACCAAGAAATAATTTCAACTATCACATACATCACACACACACACATACTCAGATGCATACATACAGATATATAAATAAGCCCATGCACAAAATACTGAAGAATACACACACATACTGTCACATACAAATATTTCGTTAGTCGGTTATTTAATATCGCGATCTGTTTTTATAAATTCACTCAATAAGCCTAACAATGAAGCTTGTCTATCTCCAAAAATACAGTCGACCTGAAGATATTTCTAACTGGGATACATCTGCAATGCGATACGCTACTTTTATCGAAATCTGTCACCATATCACTCATATTTGGCTGTGTTGCATATGTGCCTGATATGCACACTGATTGACAGGATTGGATCAAGTGACAAAAAATGTCTCTGCAATTACGCAAATACAAAAACATGGAGATGGAAGGAGAAAGAAAACATGATATTTAAAAAATAAAACTGTTCTTGCTGAGGCTGGAGCTTTGGGACTGATAAAGAAAGAAGCTCAAGAACAAATCAACAAAATCCATGGTACAAAAAAAAAAAACAAAATAAGTTCTAACAAGTACAGCGTTTTTTCTTTTAATTTTTTTTTTTTTAGTTGTTGTTGTTAATAGGAAACCTTTCTTGAATTAAGTGGGAACAACGGACAATCAGACCCAACGTTTATCCTAGTTCATAATTATGTTTATCGAGAAAAATACAATGTTTTTGGCTCAAGGCTGAAAGAAGATGTAAAGAGGCTGGTCATCGTTAACTCTCCTGATCCTTGCTAATTCGATTTACGACTCATCTATTCTAACAATTGACACAAGCGCTGTAACAAGTAATCCTTCATGATTAGGTTCGAACATGCGTCAAAACACCGCGGTTTGACCTTAAATTAAAGCCGTGATAATTGTTTAGTTGATTCGCAGGGGTCACTTCTTGGACTAACCTTCTTTCTGATTTACATAAATGATGTGCCTAAGAACATACTCCCATCATTTGTAAACATCTATGCCGATGATAGGACGATATACGAATGCAGCTCTAAAACTCTTGGCGATCAGAGATTGGCAGCTAACCTCTCTTTCGATCTAGCGCTAACTTCCCAGTGGAAGTCTCCTGCTAATACCTCATAAATAAAGGATTATTCCATTTTGATTGCGTGGAAAGAGGGCAAAAGACACTACTTGTTTCAGTAAGAAAAGAAAGAAGGAAAGAAAGAAGGAAAGATTGAAGAGCTTAACGCGTCCTGCTAATACCTCATAAATAATGAACTATTCCTTTTTGATTGCGTGGAAAGAGGGCAAAAGACACTACTTGTTTCAGTAAGAAAAGAAAGAAGGAAAGAAAGAAGGAAAGATAGAAGCGCTTAACATCTCCTGCCAATACCTCATAAATAATGGACTATTCCACTTTGAACCCGTGGAAAGAGAGGAAATGACAATTATCAAAACCTGACATCATATCATAAGCTTGGTACACTCTTATAAAACTTGGTGATATCATTGGCATATTGGATGTGTAATTTCCAATACACGCCTATTTACATCTGTAGAGACTGGACGCCATTCTATTATATTTGTAGAGGCTGAATATTTATTGCATTAAAAAGTACAATTATGGCTCGAGGCCGAAAAAGGGGGAGGAGTTGAGGCTGGTCTTCACTAACTCTCCTATACCTAGCTAATCCGATTCATGACCTATTCAGACATTACAATTTCCACATTCACCACAAGAACTCGTCCGTCACTAACCAATCCTCCATACACCATAATACCACATTCTCTCTAGGGAGACCTACAAAATGCACCCCGTGTCATAAAAATTTAACGAGGCTAAGATATATATAAAAATCTATGATGAAAAAATGAGAGGGGAGGGAGATGAACCCAACAACAAACTAAAATATTAACACAAATCAAATTAAACATAACTGATGCTAGTAGGGACCGTCCAACCCTCAAAACAGAGAGGCCGCTGTATTCTGCCCATGGGACAAAATCAAGAGCTGCTCCCGCTAAGGGAGTGGGAAAAGGATAAAAAAAAACATACGGGCATGGGAAAATATAAAGCTGACCCAGTCGAGATAAAAAGGGGCCAAAAATAAACTGGGGAGGTTGGGAATCTCAACCTGGATCATAACCAAAGATGTAGCCAGGAACAACACTTACTCACATTAACTAGGTACACAAAAGCTTGTCTAACCTAACCAAGTGGAGGGCTCCACAGGAAACCACCCCAATGGAACGTAGGTTGACCTAGAAGAGAAAATCAAGGCTAGCCACGTTCAAACGAACCAAGCTCGCCTCTTTCACCCACCTTTCGCTGAAGACAGTTCTAATCGTCATCTTGAACTGATGCTCAATGAATCGGATTAGATCCTGATGAGAAAGACGGTTGGCTCATAAGACTTCCTCCTGTCGCATCGTCCAAATCACCATTCGAGCAGTGGAAACACCATCCGTTTCACCCCGGAATACGGGGGTGACACATTATATTTGTAGAGGCTGGAGGACATTAAATTATACCATTAAAGGCTGAATGACTTCCGATTATTTCGTAGCGGCTAGAGGTTATTCCATTATATCTGTAGTTGCTGGAGGACATTATATATAGAGTGGCTGGAGGACATTTATTATATCTGGAGAGACTGGAGGTCATTCTATTATATTTGTTGAGGCTGGAGGATATTCTATTATACCCTTAAAGGCTGGATGGCTTCCGAATTTTTTGTAACGGCTCGAGGCCATTCCATTATATCTGTAGATGATGGAGGACATTATATATGTAGAGGCTGGAGGACATTACATTATACATTTAGAGACTGGAGGTCATTCCATTATATCTCTAAAGGCTGGATGACATGCCATTATTTTCTAGTGTCTGGAGGACATTCCATTATATCTGTAGAGACTGGAGGTCATTCTATTATATCTGTAGAGGCTGGAGGACATTCCTTTATACCCTTAGAGGCTGGATGACTTCCGATTATTTTGTAGAGATTGGCGGACATTTCCATTATATCTGTAGATGCTGGAGGTCATTACATTATATATGTAGAAGCTGGAGGACGTCCCATTATATCTGGAGGTCATTCCATTATATGTGAAGAGGCTGGAGGATATCATCTTAATTTATCTCTGAAACTTTTGTCGCGTTGGTGGGCAGCAGCCAGGCTTTTTTTTTTCACAATATCAATATACCTTGCTTTACATAAATAAACTCTTTTATTTAAAGTTACTTGGCTGTAAGTTGCACTTATTTAACTAAATTCTCAGTTAGTACCAGGCTCATGAGCCACTTAAGGTAGAGGGTTATTAGGTTGTAGCATGGACGTAAGAGGAGATAGCGCAGATTTTGTGTTATATGTAGGATAGGCCCAAGATTTAAAGATGTGAATATGTTAGTAATTGGGTAAGCATAATCTCAGGAGTCTGTTCAACACAATAGCGAGCATTGCAGTTATCTTAATAACATCATCAACTTTGAAGAGTCAGATAATTTTACTGGTACTAGCCTAAAACATACGCTGCCTCCTTCTAATGTCTTCTAAGCCATGTTGTTTGACTATACGAAGGACCCAAACAAGAGCCATCAAATATAGGTCTAAAAATTGCAGTTGAGAAATCAGTTTTCATGTACTACTTCGCCCAAACATATATGTTTCTCATTGTGATGTTTACTTAATGGTTGTAGTCTGGTTGCTTTAATGTCTGTTTTATTCTTAATATTCTGTATTTTTTCTTCCTGTTTACATTAAATTTATTCCGCTTATTTTTTTTTTTTTCGCGTTCATATCTTGCCAATGTGGCATAATAAATAGCAGAATAAATGGAAATGATTGACTGTCACTTTTTTTCCCTTATTTTGTTTTCTTTTTATCATGCATAGATTGGATAGATAAAAGAGTTTGTCATGTTCTCCATTATTTTTAATCTAG